CACCTCATTTTAGTGAATCTGTATTTTTATCCTAATCTAACASTGACATGATTATATATTTTTGGAGTCTAATGAAAGTCATCTTTTCTGATAAAGACGGTAATTACAGAATTATAATGTTATCTGGTAAATTAAGTTGAATTACCTTTGGTCTATTAGACTAAAATCTATGCAGGATTTTTTTTTTATTTTTTTGCAGAAACTTGAAATAAGACTGGACAAAATAACAGATTGCTCAATATGTGCAGAGTATAATCAAGCACTGCAGAGAAATAGTCATTACAAAAGGGACTTTTCTTTCTTTAACATTTATGAATCTATTATTCTCTTTGAATTGTTGACTGACTGTGACATTCCTGTGAGTCATGAGAAAAAGTCCTAACTAGTAGGATCGCAGATGATATGCCTGATCTTTGTTCTCTTTGTAAGGCATGTTTCATTCCAAATCCAGATTGTTTACAGATAGGATCTGTTTTTAAGGCATCGAAATACTTTATTAACYCTTAAGTGGCAGAAGCACAATAATTTCATGGATTTGATTTGGTTTTCTGGGGACAGAAGTTTCCACACATTCTTCCACAAGCTTCCACAWACTTTTTTCAACTTGTTGTGGAACATCCATAGAAGTCTCTACTCCTCTGGAAAGTTGCACACATATCCTGCCGTCTCCACCACAAAGACAAAAGACATGGCTCAGATTGCTATCTCCATTTGTTCAATTTCTCAGTTCTTTTGTTCAATCTTTTAACTTCACAAGATGCTTATGGATGCATTGCCACACATGGTACCACACACTACCAGACAGTAAAATCAATTAAAGATAAGAGTCAAGTGACAATTCCTCTTCATAATATCTCTGTTTTGTTTTTGATATATTCATCCCAGTAATGAGAGTACCCAGTATCCATTGGGAAGAAGACTTCTTATTTTCTTCACTTCATTCCAGCCTCCCACGCCATCACCAGGGAACTGCGTGCTACATAGTACACTATTTCAGAGTGGTGATGGCAATGCTAGTGATAATCTGTGTATGTAGCCCTGTTTATTGTTCTCTGAGGAGAGACTGAACTAACGAGTTAAAGATTCTCTGAGGAGAATCCAAAATGAGCTGATACTTCCACCCTCACTATGCTCCTAAAGGCAACTAAGACACAGCATGAAAAAATTCTGGGCTTTGTCTAAATAAACTCATGTTACTCAAAGACAGTGACATATGGGAGGCTAGAATCTTATTGACTTGATTTAAAGTTTGAAGGAAAATGCCAAATCACTTTTCAAAGACAGGATCATTTGACCTGCTTGTGAAAGGCAAAATTCAAGAATATTAAAAGGGAGAAAATTACTGAATGATGGGAAGCTGCCTTTGTAATATCTACTGCTTAGTGCTTGAACGCTGTAACTGTCAGGAGGATTGTATTATGAAAAGGGGAGTAATTTAACATTATTTAATATTCACAATATGCACATATTGAATGGAAGTGTATGTATAAGTCTCTGTTTCAGCATAAATGAAACTTTAATCACAGAAGTAGTCCTATTGATTTTAATAGGATAACTTTTATTCTCACATTTATGTGCGTGCATACTAAATAAGAAGCTCCTAACGAAAGTAATTCCAATATTATTTCTAAGAAAATATAAAATAAGATCTACTACATTTTTTAAGTGCTTTATACTCAGTTTCTGGGACTGATCCTATATGATGCAAATTTTCTTCCAATATCAATTTTATTCTGTTAGCTATATCAGGATCCTTGCTTCAGTACAGGGGTTATATGAATATAACTGAGAGTAAAATTTAGTTTAATTAGTGTTTGCCCAAGCACTGAAGGTTTAATACTCCCATAGAAAGTTAGCTTATTTGTGCCAAATGTAGGAAACTGTAGAACTGACTATTTCATAGACTAATATTTGAGACCTACAGGTAGAGAGAAAACATTGACATGAGTATATGATATTGAAAGAACATTTTCTCCTCAGACTCATGAGCAGTCCTCAGGGGCACTGTCTGTCCTTCCCCTTTCCTCATAAATGTGGAGGTCCAAGGCACAGACAGAGGGTGCTGTGGTTCCTCAAAGCCACCGGCTGTGACTCTGCTTCCCTTTCCTTCCATCCTCTCCACAGGTGATACTTTTTAGGTACGTTATTTGGAGATGACAACTAGTATTTTGATTTAATTTGTTCATGTACATCATGTGAGGAATATCCTTTACTGTGAAAGGATGTTACAGAAAACATTCATGTTCTCCATGAAACTACAAATACCTAGCCAGTAACTTAAAGGCTGCCAGAAATCTTACCTTTCCCTGGAGCGTAGGTGCCAGCACCATTTCTGTCAGTTTTGTTTCTTGCCAAGGTCCTGCTTCCTTTTTTTTTTGAGTGACCTTGATGCTTAAGGAACTTTTGTAGCAGAGTAGTACCTAGGACTTTCCCAGCTTGCTTTGATACTGAAGCAGGCCAGGGGTATGCAGATGTGCTCTACTAGGTTGCTTGGGCTCTACCTGCCTTGCTTCATGTGTTTCCCATCATTGACAGGTTAGGTGAGGAATATTTTGTTTTGTTTTCCTTTGATTTTATTTTGCTTTTAATAGCAAAGAAATAAAACTGTTAAGGGGATACTTTCCTGAGTGGAGGAATTAGCTTCTTAGTAGTAAGGACTACAGGATTGAAGAGAGAGAGAGCTTGCCAGAAGTGACAATAAAAGAGTAATATGTAGGTTTTATATATATATATATAAATATAATATAAATGGAAATGCTAGGGCTAGCTTGAGTTATAAATACAGAGGATTATCTCCAAATAGCATTTAGAAATTAATTTTCTAGACTATTCATGGTATTTTAGTAGCCAGTGCTAATATTAGGAGAGTGTCATGAAACTATCTGTGGGCATTAGGTGTAATCACCCATGTTTCTCCCTTAGCATAAGAAAATTGTGCCAATATCTTAAAAATGACAGGTTTAAATGCCTGCAATCACAGTGTAAATTTTTTTAGTTCAGCAATGATTTTCAATGTTGCTGCCTTTACATAATTACCTTAATGTGAAAAAAAGGCATATCATGCTCCATTGCTCCTTGTGTGCACTGCAAGAAGAAAAAGTCTTTCTGTAAAAAAAAAGGGACCTGCTTAGCTTTAATTGAGCAAAAGGATTCATACAGGGTCTGGACACGCATCTTATAATTCCTATAGACAGATCAGCTTGCTGTGTGACGATCCTAATTAAATTATATAAGAGCATTGAACTAGGTAAACCAAAGTAGCTGCTCCATCAGTTCACCAGGTGAATTAACCATGTGCAGGAATCTGGATTTCTTCAGACACCCCAGCTCTTTTTACACTAGTTTTCGTGTCACCAGCGCTTCGAGGAGCTGGTGTTGCCGGATTTGGTCTAGAGGTGGCAGCATTGTCAGCGTTTGCGGCTCCCGAGGCTTCTCCCGGGCTTTTCCGATCTCCTCCAACCTCCCCCACTCCCCGACGCTGTGAGCAGGGCTGAGTTAACGTCATTACACGCTCAAGGCAGGGAAAATAAAATGGAGTGAAATGTTCAGGCCAAAATTTGCTCGTGTTCAATTTTATTTTTGCTCTTCTCTTCTCTTCTCTTCTCTTCTCTTCTCTTCTCTTCTCTTCTCTTCTCTTCTCTTCTCTTCTCTTCTCTTCTCTTCTCTTCTCTTCTCTTNTCTCTTCTCTTCTCTTCTCTTCTCTTCTCTTCTCTTCTCTTCTCTTCTCTTCTCTTCTCTTCTCTTCTCTTCTCTTCTCTTCTCTTCTCTTCTCTCTCTTCTCTTCTTTTTGCTTTGTTTCTTTTTTTCTTGTTTTTTTCCCCCTTTTTCATTTTTCTTTTAACTCTTTTCCCCCCTTTCTTCCTTTGCCTTCATTTCCTCCATTTCTCCCCATTTCTTCCATTTCCTCCCATTTTCTCTGCCCTTCACTTTCCCTTTCCTTTCCATCTTTTTCTATGCTCTTTATTCTTTCTTCTTCTTTTTTCTTTTTTCCTCCTTTTTTCCTCTACCCTGCCCCTTCTCTGCCTTGCATTGCCAGAATTGTTTGCTCTCCTCTCCTCTCCTCTCCTCTCCTCTCCTCTCTCAAAAATAGAACAAGAAACTTCAAAGACACACTGGGTCTGGACAAACTTGACTTGCACTCATCGTATTTTCTCTGACTTGTGTTATGGTGAATACAGCTATATTGCAAAATGTGTCTTCCCCCTAGAGAAGTACACACTGTGGAATTCATATTATTTCAGGCTTAAAATTCATGACTTCCACATTTTTTTAAGTTTGTGATTATTTTGCTGAGGATAGATTTTTTTTGAGACCTGTACTCATTCACTGGATGATTTCTGTTTCCACTGTATTTTTGCCCAAGTATCAAGAAGCACAAAAGCTTCTACATTTCATGTTTTATCTAGTTTGTTTGTTTGTTTAACACTGCGCTGTAGAGGACCCAGTTCCCAACTTTAACTGGTTATGTGATTTTATGTCAATATTTAAAGTTAGTGGGATTATTTATATGAGCAACGTACAACAAAAGAGAGCTTAGGGCTTAGTCTCTTTTTGATTGTGTACATGTTATGATCTGTTATCTTCACTGTTTTGTGCATTCTATATCATCTTTCGTGATGTCATAAATAAAGACCCTCTGAGGTCATCCATTTTCTACTCCTCAGTTCCTCTTCTCCTTTCCTTCTTCACTGCCCCACAGGGAGGATATTCTGAAGTACAGATTGACAAAATTGTTTAAGTTTTATTGAAAATATAAAACAAAATTGTTTCTTTAATAAATATAATTAGCTGTATATATTGCATTTTCGAGAGCTAGTACTGATGTTGGGACCAGCTCTTTAAATAAAATAGGACCTCTGTAGTCTCTGGAGAGAACATGCATAAAGCAAAGTAAATGATTTTCTGTCAACACTAAGTAGACAGGTGCTTACATTGAACAGCATTCTAATATGTCTCTGAATATTTATGTCTTCTTTTTCAAATGCATTGCCCATGAATGTCACAGCTGTCAAACGTCTGTATACAAGAAGATAAAAAATGAAATTAATAAAAGACAGAACAACATTTTGTTTGTTTAGGCCACTTTTTCCTATTGCATTTATAGAGGTTAGCAATGTTGGGTACACTGGTATATTGTAAGTGGCTGAGTGAAATCCAAAGCAATTAGTTGTATTTTGTGTAGACACAGGAATACTTCCCATTATTTAACCTAGACATAATCAATGAAAATAATGATTGAGAGTGCTACAGGGTGCTCCTTTATCCTTTGGCCATTTGTTCAGCAGATGGGGACCCTGCAAAGACAGCTTTGGCAGTTCACTGCCGCCATGACCAGGAAACCAACATTTGTTTTTTCTGTAGGGATTTGTAGGTTTATGCTTGCAAATTCTAAACCAAACCATGCCCTGCATAAGGATAGGTGAGTCATCCACCTGCTTGAAATGCAGAACAAATTTGTTTTTAAGGTGGTTTTATTAGTCTGAAGGCTGTTTATATTAATGTAAAACTTACTGTTTGTGGCTATCTGTGAAAAATATGCACTGGTGCACCTTTGCTAGGAAGACCTCAGTGGTAAGACCTCAGTTTGGAAGACCTCAATGGTAACACGGCTTCCTTCTTGTACCAAACAGTGTTGAGAGGAGAAGAGAAAAAYAAACCTCCCCACATTGACACAAGACAACATTACTCATCTTTTAAGCAATTAAAGTAGACATTAACTTGAGTGTTTGTTTCAGAGTGTTCCTCCCCCATCCGTTGACATTCATTCAATTGCTTCCCTAGGTTCGTGGTGCTTTCAGCACAGGCTAGCTGGCACACACACTCAAGGATAGCTGTTTAAAGTTGACTATTGCCTCCATTTAGCCCATATTCTTGAAGAATACTGGTCTTTAAGGAAGTAATTCCACACTGAGGCTTTTCAGACAGGCACGGGCTTGAGCTGCATGATCTTAGGTTGAGAATGCAGCCATAGGGAGAACTATACTATACTTTTAGGGTTCATTTTCTGTCAGGCACTAAACTGCTTTTAAACAGATGTTATTTCTCTTAGAAAATTTGCTCTGAACAATAATGGACAGAGGAGACAGTGAGCACTCAGTACTGAGTGAACCAGGACTGAGCATCGGGATTAAAGGCACCAAGAATGATGAAGTGAGTGCAGTTGGCTGGGAGTTTGCAGACAGATGTTTTGGGGAAAAMGCTGTTATGTTAAAAATAAAAATGTTTCCTAAAAGCATATCTCTMAAGAGATTGGAGCAAAACATGGGCCTGTTTTTTTTCCTGCAAGCTTAATATAAAATACTATGTCTAGGAGTATATAGAAATATCTAACATGATTATCCATGTATAGAGATATAGTCAGCTCCCCAACGGCAGCTATAAATCCTGTTGTAGGAGGTGTCACTTGGAAAAGTCCACATCACAAACTGCATATGTTTTTAAATGAGATTAATTTTTACTCTTTTATTTCCAGAAGATATCTGGAAGGATCACTGGATTCTCTTTATATATTTCCTAGGCAATGGAGCAAATGTTGGTGATGTTTGGATTTTGTTTGAAACATGGAAAGATTCAGAAATTCAGAGAGACTTTTAGGTCAACCCATTTAGTTCGTTACTAAGAAGTGATTTAGAGGAAASTATAAGTTTGTGTAGTTAAGGGTAAAAACACTGCAGCATTTGGTCCTTTCTCAGGTAGCTACATTCATAAAATACACTGAGTTTTTTGCTTGTTTCTGGTTAATAGGGTCAATACTGCAGAAATGCTTAAAGCTGGGAACACAAGATGTATTTCTCTGGTAATGMTCCCAGCTTTTGTTAATCTTAGCTGACCTTATAGTTTAGAAACAGAAAGTGAGATGATGTGGTCAGTACAATAARTGAAATAAGGTTCCAGAAAGATGGGGGGAAAAAAAAAACTCTTTTTTTTCCTGGAGGAAAGGGTTTGGAAGGGGGAGTTAGATGCCACAAACAATCTCTTGCTATTCAGAATGAAAAAACCAGCATTTTATAACAACACCCAGAAGTTTTTTTCAAAACTTTTGAGCTACTCATGCTTTAGCTGAACTCTTTTTCTATCAAAGTAATTTTAGCRATATATGTTCTCTCTCTATATATGTATATTTCAGTCAAATACTAAGATATTTTGGATCTGCTGATGTGATATAGCAAGAAAATTGTCTTAGATTGTAGTTACACCATGGACATTTGCTCATAAAACACAAAGGTTCTAAAATGTATCATTTCTTCCTCTGTGTTAAAGCTATGTAACTGTGTTTACAAGTTCTAGCAAATATAGAGCTAATTGTTCACATACAACACAGCTTAAATTTGATGCCAAGTGTCAGATAATACACAAATACTCGCATGACATCAAAGGAACAAATAAAGAAGAGAAAATCTTTCAAATTCTTTTTCACATGTACTGTCTTTTCACAGACAAATAATTCCCTGCAATCAGTGGGAACTGGATGGAGTTGATGGRATTAGTTTACAGTTTTCCTCTTTCCTTAGAGTATTTTGTGAAATTAAGTCAGGTCATTATCATTTGAACTATGTATGCCATTTGCAACGTAATACACTGACTTTGTGAGTCAATGTTAAGAAATGGACTTTTCCTGTAACACAGACATAACACACACGGTTCTGGAACTGAATGACATTTGCAGGCTCCAATACTAATGCATGCACTTGCTGCATGCCATATCATATGAAAYTGCTGTATTCAGATCTTTGGGAATTACTACAATACTTGGCTGGCAATTAGTACAAAGACTCCTGGACTGCTGAACTCAGTCTTACAGATGTAGCTTAGGGGGAAGGATCACAGTAATGATGGATGAGTCTACCAATTCAAAATGCTTCTGATAAAAGTGCTGCTTGCTTTTAGAGAAGATGTTCTGAGTCATACCTGAAGGTGCATACCTTAAGATATTTGTCATTTTCTCTGTAATTTATACCATTGTACTTGCAAACTGTCAACTGAGGTCAGATCAGAGAGAGATGAACATAGATTAGTACTATTTCAGGTTGCAGGAAAAAAAAATTTTCAAATTTCTTTCTTTATCTGATATTCCTTGTTCTCACCACACATTGAAAATGGGTGCACTTGCATCTCCACATGATGGAGGAAAACCTTAACTTTACTAAATTGTCAGTAGGCAGGTGAACATTTTGCTATTACCTTCAGGTGATCTCATATGCTTAAAGCTGGAGCCAGGTTACTGGCTACAGGTTATTTTTATAGATATTTGCCAATGAACTAGGAGGTTTCAGCCCTCTGTTAGCACCAGGAAGCAAAGAGGCTTGTCCCACATTTCAGCTGTGCTGCAGTGCACCTCAGTCTTGCCTTTCAAATTTGTCCTAATTCCCTTCGCGTATTACACCTCTGGTGCTGGAAAATTCCAAATTAGCCATTGAGAGTACTTCATTATCTAGTGAAATCATACCTGGATTGAAATTCCATTGATTTAAATAAATGATTCTTTGGTTCATTGCCGATTCCAAATACACGAATCAAAAAAACTTTAAGTGGACCATAATATTGAAATAAATAATATTGAAAATAAATAAATTGAAAATAAATTAAACAATGTTTAATTTAGCAAGAAAAGACTTGTTTAAATAAGATTTCTTTTGTAAAGAATTTGGCAAAAATGAGATAAATTTTAGTGTGCATGGATCTAGACTTTTAAATAAGCTTACCTTTAAATAGCCATCAACTGTGTTTGGCTCCTATTTACATGGAAATATTCAGTAGTTCTGGACAGGATGTGAAAGAAGAGTGATGCGTAACATCTCATCTGAAGGAAAGCTGTAAAGAGAGAGAAGGTAACAATGCAGTTACGTGGTTTGGAATTCCCCCAGTTCTGTAGAATCAGAAAAGGCCAAAATGCTGTTTAGCAGGACACTTTTATTTAAAAAAAATATATAATAAAAGTTCCTATGCTTTTGCAGCCGCAAATCTTCAATCTCTGGTATCCACTCTGACCTTTTATTCCCTATTGGGCTAAGCAACTTCCTTCTCTTTCAAAGGAATCCTTTTAACTACTCTATTCCCGAAAGAGAACAATGACTCTTTCTGGAAATCTTCAACCTTCTTCCCCACCACATTGACTTTCCTGTTTAGAAACAGAGATCCCTAGTGAACACAAATTCCTCTGCATTAACAATCCACTTAATTTTGTTTGCAGGTTTCAATAAAAATATAGAAAGGTGATATATGAACTATTCATAGAGCATTTATATTAAAACTTTATTACACCATCTATATATGTATTTGACCAATTTCTTTTGGTCGTTATACTGTAATGTTACAATAATATTTGCAACAATAATATTATTACCAAATGTATTATATAAATTACACACAGAATTTGCTGTTGATATAATCTCTTCCTTAATGGATTTTTTGACACTAGTCTCTATGAGGTTCTAAAAGTTCAAAACTCTGACTAAATGTCATTTGTAATATTTATTCAATAAAGCGTTATAGATCCTATATACATACTACATACAAAGAAGAATGCAAATGCCTTGTAACACATTATTCTTCTGCTTTACTCAGGGCTCAGATTATGGGAGCTGCTAGTGATCCTTCTGTTGATGGCATTGTGCATACTTCTGGATCAGAAAAAATAAAATCTTTTTCCAAAAATTCTTAAAAAATAGTATATAACAAGGTTTTATAAAAGCCTTTTGCTGAATATAAGTATGATGTATATCCATTATCATTGATATTCAGCAAAAGGTTTTTGTGTTATTCAAAGATGAGGTTAAGACAGGTGCATAACACAATATTTCAGCAAGTGTGAATAAATGCCAAAGAACATTTGTATATAAGCTATTTATAAGCTATTTCACATGCATTCATCTTAGCTAGTTAACAATGAATTAATATCAAGAAATTAATTTACTTATTGAGACCTTCAGGTTGCTAAAGAAAAAAAATACAGAAGACTAATTATTCTTTTTTTTTTCTATCTTTCAAGACCGTCTTTAGTTTAATTTTCATTTTAAAATCAAAATCTTGAAGTTTATATATCTTTTGACAGGAGACTGGACTTATTTAATTCCAGCTAACAACAATTAGGGTGTAGTTGAGTCAGTTCTTTTACTAAACACATTATATAAATTCAGCTATATTTCTGAGATCAGAATATTTTTAAGTCTGCTGCCTGATTTATATCATAAACCTGGATTAGGTTAACAGACCTATTTTCCCTCAGCAGTTTGTTAATCAAACGATGGTCAAAGAAAAATGCAGAAAAAATCCCTATGAAACCACCCTCAGAGTCCTTCTTAATGATAAAAGCATTTCTAGACTACCAGTATATCTGAAACAGTGTGGTAAGAAATATGTTAAAGTGTATTTTTTTCAAACCAAGGAAAGCTACAGCTTTGAGCAGAGAACATTAAAATTGAGTACTACTCGGTTTTAGGCAAAAGATATGCTAGGTTTGTATACATAACGCTAAATGTATATGTAACGTATAAAAGAACATCCATGCTTCCTTTGAGAAGTATTTCTTGAATTATCATCAACTGCTGTAGGCAAATCTAATAAAATATTTTTGTTTGGCTAAGCATATGAGGAATATTCCAACCATAACTTAATCTTAGTGGTAGATTAAAGGAACAGCAATGAAAAGACTTGACCAGCAGAAAAAGAGTTAACAGTATTTCTCTACTGAAGGGCAATTTTTTGATCTTTCTGTTAGATTTTCAATTTGCAAATATGTAGCGTAATAAATTCATGCCAAAAATACATAGTTGCTCCTGCTTACTAAGGAAATACAACTGAAGGCTCTAACACAACACACAGTGTTTAATACATAGCACATGAGAAGTGTCTAGGCTTTTCTAGCATTGACTTAGATAAGTGCTTTAATGCTGGTTTGTGCATTGCTCAGCTTGTGTCCCGGTTTTGTAACATCACAATAGGTAAGGAGAATGTGGAGATCAGTTATATCAGAGTTTCAGTGTTTTTTTTCAGTGTATATTTTGCTGYGTTAGATGATCAAATGAGCATTTTTCTAATTTTTAATTAATTTTTTTTCCAGCTACTAAGCATACATATAGAAATTCAGAAGGATAACAACTTCTGAGTTCACAGAATTACAAACTCACAGAATATTCAAGGTTGGAAGGGGCCTCTAGAGATCATCTASTCCAACCTTCCCGCTCAAGCAAGCATACCTAGAGCACATGGCACAGGGTGGCATCCAGGTGGGTTTTGAAGACCTCCAGAGAAGGAGACTCCACAACCTCCCTGGGCAGCCTGTTCCAGGGCTCTGTCACCTTCACAGTAAAGAAGTTCCTCCTCACCTGGAGATGGAACTACCTTTGTTTCAGCTTATGCCCATTTTTAAAGCTGTATTATAAAATTAAAAATTTGTAGTAACACCCATCTTAGAAAAGATGCATAAATTTCTTCACGTGACAAATCCTCAAGCCAATCAAAACCACAGAGACTCRTGATATCAAAAGTACTGAACAAACAGGATATGACAAACCAGGAGAGAATCAATCTTGTCCTTCAATCATGACTTAGGTCTCACAAAAGAGAGAGAGAGGCTGCTGAATATGGCCAAAAAAAATAGGTTGATGCTGAATGGTCATAATAATGCAGAAATCTGTTTAGTAATTCTTAGGATTGCCTGGAACAGAGTGACATTGGAATCACATTCAATCACATCTTGCTTCCTAAAARTCCACACTATTCATTGTTATTCTTTTGTTAATACTTATTATGGAGCAGGTATGATTCTACTTGACTGTCATTTATGTGCCACTGACAGAGGTTACTAGGGATTGTGTAAACTGCTTTAAATGAAACACAAACCACCCACCCAAACAAAATCCCCAAATCGAAGCCACATATATCTTTGCTAGGAACTCAAGTTAGAAGTGCCACCAAGACAAGTGGACCTTAACAGAAATTAAAAGGGAAATCTCTTCTCATGAGATTTTTTTATGTGCTCCAAACCTCAGTAATCCAATGTTTCCTTCCTTAAACACATGGAGTAGAGCATTTAGCTCAGAGCTTAGCACTTTATCTGTATAAAAYCAAATTCCAGAGTCCGCAGGATTATTTCATTGAACCAATGAACACGGAATAATTGCTTAAGTGCTATCTACATTACAAATAGGAATACGAACAGTGTTGAACTGGCATCTTCTTTACCTGAACTTCTATGTACATAACAGATGCCCAGCACTCCACTTCTGAAATACTTGTTCATTATGCTGCCTTGGTTACTTAATGGAAACAGCCCTACAGTCCTTGGTTCAGGGGTCTACAGGTCTTATTTATAGGGCTGCTAATGCCAGGTACTTTGAGGAAAGGGAATACTAAGAAAAGCATTTGCTAGCACTCCTGGGTCTGGTGTCCATCAAACCATATTACACTGGGGAAAAAGGAAAAAAAAAGAATATTGTTCTGGAGAACACAATATCTAAGAACAGAGGTGCAAAGACTGTTTTGAAAGAGTTGTTTTCTTTCAGTTTGTAGTGACTGGGGAAATGGGAGAGGGGAGAGTTCCTGCTAAGTAGTTTGGGAAGTGTCTTTCAAACCTGGAAGATTTCAGGGAACTGCTGGAGTTCCTCCAGTACAAGAGCAGCAGCCACAGCCAGGGTACACACATGTGAAATGGGAGAAGCAAGATTCAGTACCTTTCTGACATACAAAATGGGGACAGGAACAGATCTCTGGCAGTAGATTACTGGTCCATCCCACTATAATTATCTTTGATTTATTTGGGCTAAAACCGATCCTTGATGTTTTGGGGAAAAAATGCAAAACTCAAGAACCCTGCAGCCACCAGGTACCAGAAGAATTCAGTAGGATTTGTCTCTTTTAAAGATGCTATAGAACATGGATTACCCAAACTTTATCAGTCCACAGATGCTTTTAATAACACCTTTTAATATCAACTAATAATATTTTAACAACTAATAATAATTTTAATAAGAAACTTCTAATAACAACTAATGAAAAAGAGAGACAGTCTAAGTTCTGTGTCTACACATTACATTTACCATGAGAGTCAATGTATCTGCCTTTGAGAGAGGGTGATATGATTCAGCCTGGACAAGATCTAAACTTCTGCTCTTAGGGAATCTAAGTGTTTCTTTCAGCAGCTTTGCTGCAGCTAAGCCAGTGTCTCTGTGAAGAACTGCATTCAATCCACACTAGAAGCTCCCAGCTTTATCTTTGCGGGCAGTGGGAAGGGGAGAAAGAAGGAATAGAATCACTAAATAGGTCTGTGTACATGTGTATGTAAGAAAGGAAAGTTAATTTTTGCCCTTCAGTCACTAAAAAATGTGAAATGATTTTTTTTTTTCCAGGATACAACTAGCTTATTTGCTTATTTCCCAAGTTCCCGTTAGGACCGAAACTATAGCTARGAACTGCTGTAATTCTGTTTTCTCAGAGTGCTTCTCTTTGTCCCTTCAAACAATCTTTCACTTTTTTTTAAGAATGATATGGTGTATGTTTCTTACATTCCAGTTCTGCAACATGTTAGCAAAGCTATTCGGTTCTTAATTGAATTATTTTAAGTGTTATTTTTGGCACTTCAACACAGGAAAGCTTCATGCTGAGGTGGTTTTATATGAGCACACGACCAGTTTCTCACGTCTAAGTTTTAGCTTGTATGAACTGTTACAGATCTTCTGCCTGTTGTGAAACTCTGGGATGTAAACACCTCTATTGGTCTGCTCCTTGGTACCTAACTCAGGGAGCTCAGAATGGCTTGAGAAGTTCCCACCCGCTTCCAAGGACTGCAGTTTCTCAGTGGTTTGCTGCAGCTA